AACAAAAACAAAATAAAAAAAAAAACCTGGTATGTATAAAGCACTGTTGCTGCTGGGTGCCAGTGGCTCACTCTTGCAATCCTTAGCTACTCAGGAGGCTGAGATCTGAGGATCGTGGTTCAAAGTCAGCCTGGGCAGGAAAGTTCGTGAGACTCTTATTGCCAATTAACTACCAAGAAAAAAAAAAAAGCTGGAAGTGGCACTTTGGTGTAAGTGGTAGAGTGCTAGCCTTAAACACAAAGAGGCTCTGAGTTCAAGCCCCAGGACAAGCAAAAAAAGAAAAAGCACTGTTTCTTATAGTATAGTAAAGGATGCCTGGGTTTCCTTGGTGTGAATCTTACTTCTACCATTCCCTGAAGGATACTGAACAAATTATTTAGCCTCTCTAAGCACACTTTGTCCTTCTGTTACAGGGTATTCTGACCCTCATGTCCTATAGTGTCTGAAGAATAAATTATATGATGTGCAGAAAAGGCCTAACCCAGTCCCTGGCTCATAGTAAACCCTGGGTGATGGCAGATGATAGGGATTATGATCTCTTAGTCCTGCTATGTGCCATGATAAGAATGATCAGGGCAGACACTAAAATAACACTGCTCACCTTTAGCTCACAGACTCCTCAGGCAGTCCTCTAAGGTACATGCTGTTATTCTCCCCATTTTATACATGAAGCGACTGACAGAAGGAGTTAAGTAAGTTGGCCCAATGTCAGACAGCTAAATTGTTGTGCCAGAACCTAGAGCACAGCAGTCAGACCCACACCAGGCTCTGTGTCCCTTATACTCTGATTATACTACAAACCCTGGATGATTGATCAGGCCTTTTCTGTGAAATGGTTTTGTGAGATCTCTTATCTACAATAAGGAGAGAAATGCAGATTTGTAAGAAGTAGATTTCTTGGATTTTATCTCCAAGTCACGTCTTCAGCTTAACACCCTTACTCTCCCCAAAGTCAAGACCCCTGAGTCCTATACCAAGTTCAGAAGTACTTTCCAAGTTGTTCTTTATTTGTTAGGACACATTAAGGAGTACCTAGAAGAGAAGGCAGCACTCAGAATTTCACATACTGACAAAACTAGACATAGATAGGAATATTCTTATGGGAAAATGGGAAGGTCTTCCTGGATATCTAGAAAGATCAAATGATCATGTCTTCACAAGGGGACTTTATACCACAATGACCAAACATAGCCATCACATGGGAGATTGGTATGTGTGGATTTCATTATGATAAATTATTCAGATGGTTTCATTTTGAATGTATAGAAACCAATTATTCAGAATGCAGATGAATCCACAAATCTACAAAAATCTATAGTTATGGGATAAACTATGGCCTCTTTATAATTGACCAGTAATTTATAGTTTGCAGGAGTGAAAAAGGTTCAAAGCACACAAGCTTTAGAGCCAAAAGACCCCTGGGTTTTATTTCCTACTTCTTACCTTTGTGATCTTGAATAAGTTATGTCATGGGGATCCCCATCTGTGAAATGGGGATGGTATCTCTATGATGATCGCTGAGCAGACACACATAGCATGCTTGGCACCGAGTGAGCATATAGAAGTGAAAGTCATCATCATATCAGAAGTCAAGAAAATAGTCCAGAAAGCCACTTTTGGTGGCTTTTTTTGGTTTTAACAGAAATACTACAAGACACAAGAGAATTTAATGGGCAGTGAGGGCTCTGGGTAGGGCAGAGTTGGGTTTAGAGCTAAGGGACCCTTCCTAGTATTCTCTGATTTCCCTGGTTTCCAAGCAGCTGCATAGTCTGCAAGGAAAAACAAAAATTCAAAGGAAACCAGCCTGAAATTCTCTCTGCTGAAGCCAGGCTTGTTGGCCAGTGTTCAGGAAACGGGAGGTGGATGTCAGGTAGGCTGACAGCTAGAGAAGCTCAGCCTCTGTGCACTGCTCTCTGAGTATCCATGTCACGGTACAGGGTTGCTTAACATGAAGCTGTCTGTATACACAAACAGATTGTGTGAAAGACCACTGGAGATGTCACATGCATGATAATTATAATATTCTCAGAAAAGTGACACCATAAGAAATTGGAACATTTTTCAGTGCCTGCAAAACCTTTAGGGCTGGGTGGGTGTTAGTGGCTCATGCCTGTAATCCTAGCTACTCAGGAGGATGAGATCTAAGGGTTGTAGTTCCAAGCCAGCCCGGGCAGGAAAGTCTGAGAGACTCTTACCTTCAATTAACCAGCAGAAAAAAAAAAAAAAAATACAGAAGTGGTGCTGTGGCTCAAAGTGGTAGAGCACTAGCCTTGAGCACTACAGCTCAGGGACAGTGCCTAGGCCCTGAGTTCAACTCCATGACCGAAAAAAATAAAATATAAATAAATAGAAGTAACCTTCATTTACTACTAGAAAATTTGAAAAATGCAGATACAAAGGAAAAATAAAAATACTCAAATCCCACTATTATAAGTATTATTCACATTGTAGAAATAACTGGCCTATCTCTGTGCTCTGTGCTATGGCATATATTTCTGTAATTGTAATCATCCTGCAAATACTGTTATAATTTGCTTTTGTCATAAAATAGCATGCTGTAAGCATGTTTTATAACATTAAATGACTTGTAGAATCATTTTTGCTATTTGCATGATATTCTACAAATATTTTATTCACTCAAACCTCCTATTATTAGACCTAGGTTTTCCCAAATTTTAAAAAATGAATTTTTTTTGTCCTTTAGTGTCTCTGGGGGATTTGTTCCAGGATACCTCATCCAAAATCTGCAAATGCTCAAGAACCCTTTTACAAAATGGTGCAGTATTTACACAAAACTATACATCCTCCCAATACCTTAAAACGTTGCTAGAGTACTTATAATACCTAATATATTATAAATGTACACCTAGATGTTTTACTGTATTTAGGGGATAATAACAAATAATCTATACATATTCAGTATATGCAGTTTTTCCTCAAAATATTTTAGATCCATGGCTAGTTAAATCCAGGGATGAGGATACAGAAAGTTGATTATAACTAAGCTTACATGCAGACTTCATTGTAGATTCATAGACTAGATGTCAATGTATCATATACATTGTGTCAATGGAAAGTATTGGGGATGGAGGTTCACAGGGTGGCTTACTAGGCCAGCATCTTCTCAAGGAGCACTGTAAGAAAGAGGTAATTACTCATAACTTAAGAGGCACAGAGTTGAGGGATTTTTTAAAGTCTAGCAATGAAGCCAGGCTCTAGTGGCTCATACCTGTGAGTCTTGCTACTCAGGAAGCTGAGATTTGAAGATCATGTTTCAAAGGCAGCCTGGGCAGCAAAATCCATGAGACTCTTATCACCAGTTAGCCACCAAAAAGCCAGAAATGGAGCTGGGCTCAAATGGTAGAATGCTAGCCTTAGGAAGAAGAAAAAGAAAGGAAAAAAAGAAAAAATCAGGGACAGTGCCCAGGCCCTGAGCTCAAAAAACAAAACCAGCACAAAAAAAAAAAAAAAAAAATCTAGCCGTATATGTGCCAGAATCTGACAATGAGCAGCAAGCATGCTTGCTAAATGACAGATAGTGGCACTGACACGTGATACTACCAGGGACTATAAAATTACCTTTATTTCCATACTTTCATTTACTTGATATTTCTGATCTGAATAGAGTGCATTAGAATTTTTAACACTTGTACAGAGTTCTACGCATGTGTTTTCTTAAGTAGTGTGAAGAAGGCTGAGGAAGAACCCCCAAGAACTCTGACAGAAGTGCTGATGAAATACCAATTAGAGAAAAGATCAAATAAACCATGAAAACAAAACAAATCTCTCCCATGCTACTGAAGAACTAAGGACTTAGGGGATGAGAACTGCTAGAAATGAGTGAAATGCCTCAGACCGGTAAAGGAGAGTACTGGACGTGAATAATCAACACGTTGGCAACAGCTGAAGAACATGTCTAAAAATACGTGTTCCGCCTGGGAGCTCTGCAGATTCCTCAAATCCCCTTCTGTCTGACCAAACATACCTTTCAGAGTCAAAATAATAAGACAGTTTCTTATGCCTCTCATCTTTTCAATAACCATTAGCAAATCACAGGAGCAGTCTGGATTCTGACCATTGGACCTGTTAGGTGTTATCTAAGAACAACAACATTGTCATTTGGACTGACAAAGAAATACATGAATAAATGTATAAAATGCATCAGTGTTTTATTAAGATCTACCAGAATTCTATGTGTGATGCAAGATAGCTAGAACCCTCAGTATTAGGGAACCTGTGTCTCTTGTTTTTATAAATATCTTGACAAAAATGGGAACTACCAGCCACTATCACCATCACCATAAACTGGAAACCAGAAATTCATTTAAACATTTTTTAACCTTATTCCTGACTATAATATTATTATAGTGCTAATTCTTAATAATAAGTATCTTTGTAGTTATACCTCCTATAAGGTAGAGTTATTCCTAAGTGTTTTTCCAGAATCATCTCTGAATTGCATATAATTATTTAGGTACAAGGATTCCCTCATTGTACATAGGAATTAGATTCGAAAAGGGTAGTTAATAGACCCTTGCTGGGGCTGGGAAGAAGGCTTACTGCTAGAGTGCTAGAGTGCATGAGGCCCTGCGTTCGTTTCCTCAGCACCACATAAGCAGAAAAAGCCAAAAGTGGCTCTGTGGCTCAAGTGGTAGAGTGCTAGCCTAGAGCTGAAGAGCTGAGGGACAGCACCCAGGCCCAGAGTTCAGGCCCCACTATTGCCAAAAAAAAAAAAAAATAGACACTTGTTCCTATCTGAGAAACAAGGTAGCCATATGTGAGTCCAGTTCTGGGGATTCAGAAGCCATTTTTGCGTGGGGAAGTAATGAATGAGAAGATATAGTGTGGGCTAAGACCGCATGGGTTAAGACCCAATCTTCCATCTTGGAGGTAGCATTTTCCTATGGCCTTCCCAGCTTTTGTCCAGTGCATGTTAATGTCTAAATGTTAAATTCACTATTTCAGACTTCTTCCCCTCTTTCTGCCCTTTGATCTTCCAGGCCCCCAGTACCGCCTGGAGAAGCAGAGTGAGCCCAATGTTGCCGTGGACCTGGATAGCACGTTGGAAAGCCAGAGCGCATGGGAGTTCTGCTTGGTCCGAGAGAACAGTATGTTGGCCACCTTACCTTTGTCTGTTGCAAACCTACCTAGAAGTCATGAGCTGGGGCACACTCGCTGGCCTGGTTCCCCTAGGCAGATTGGAAGTGACTGTTTTCCAAGGCAGACAACAACATTTATGTCAGAAGTGTGTCCCAAAGTGCAATGATAGGTTCGGTTCTATTTGGTACAGTCCTCTTCCTGTTTAGCACTTCATGATTAATACTTTTCTGCTGAACTATATCTTTGGAATTGTTTAGAAATGTGAGGTCCTTTCAGAGGGGAAGACTTTTATACATAAAACAACTGGCTGTGTGGCTAAAGCAGTATTTTAAGGGAATTTCACAGCCTTCAAATATACATGTTATAAACAAAGAAAAGCTGGAAAGTGATAAGCTAAGCATTCAACTCAAAATATTAGTAAAGAAATCTAAAAGAATGAAATAAGGCAATAAAGATAAAAGCAGAAAACTTCTGAAATAGATCAAATAAGAAAAAGAAACAAATAACAGAAACACAACTAGAATGAAAACGAAATACACTACAGATCCTATTATCATTAAACAGACAAGATAATTTTGTAAAACTTCAAAAAACTTTGAAATTGTAAATAAGAAGAAAAAAATCCAGGCAAAGACAACTTATCATTACTAGCACAAAAAGAAACAGATATCTAAATGTTCCCATAATTACTAATTTGGATTAGTGATGAAAAAAAAAAAACCTTCCTCCTTTCTCCTCTGTGATCAGTGGATGAATTTGCCCATTTCTGCTCTAGACTTGACCTCCCTCCCTCCACAAACAGGAACCAGATCTGAATCCTCTCTGCATCCCTTGTCTGGCCAGGCATGGAGCAAGCCTCCACATCCCTGACTCTACCACACTTCTCACCAAGGAAACTTGGAGTTTGAGCAAGGCTCTTTATATTGCAGAGATCTCTTTGTGGTAATTAGACCTTGCCCACACCTACACACATATCACCAACAACCACTGGACATTGCCCACACCTACAACGTATCACCAACAGCCATTGGACATTGAGCTGCACTGGACATAGATGAAAATGAACTAAGCAACTCAAGGGCAGCGATGGGAGGGAAGGAATGAGGGAGAAAGAGGAAACAGCTAACACTAAGAAAAAGAAAGAAATGTACATTTCACCTAATATGGAAGAAATAGCTGTATTGTCAAAGCTCATAGAATTCACAAACTTTATAGACCATGATAATGACAATTTTCCTCATGAAGGTTAGAATGTGCTTGTGACTTTAACTAAGTATCACTATTTCACAATACTATGAAATTTGTGAAATTTATATAATAACTTAATCACAATAAAAAAATATTAAAAAAATTGACTGGACACTAGTGGTCCACACCTGTAATCCTATCTACTCAGGAGGCTAAGATTTGAGAATCGCAGTTCTAAGCCAGCCCAGACAGGAAAGGCTATGAAACTCTTATCTCCAATAAACTACTCAGAAAAAGTCAGAAGAAGCACTATGGCTCAGGTGGTAGAGTGCTAACCCTAAGGAAAAGATCAGAAACAGCACCCAGACCCTGAATTCAAACCTCAGGACCGGCCAAATAAACAGAAAAATTAAGTAGACATTCCAGCTAAAACTCATGTATTGTTCTCCTGTAGTTACCAATTAACAAGTTGAATTGAGTTGGGCATAGTGGGAAATATCTGTATCCTAATATTTGGGAAGCAGAGACAGGAGGAGTACAAGTTCAAGGCTAGCCTCGGCCACATTACTGAGTTCCAACCCAGCCTGGGCTATGAAGCCAGATCCTGCTTTTCTTTTTTTTCTTTTTTTTTTTTAAGTTGGGTTAACACAAAGAAGAAATATTTCAAAAATAGAATATTAGTATGTTTAACCAGTATAGGTTCACTATTTTCAGACCATTTTAGAAATGAGGTAAGTATGGTCATGTATTATTTACACACACTGCAAGAAAGCATATTATGGTGCCAAAACATGAACTGCCTTGGTTCACATTCTGGCTGTGCCACTTAATAGCTCTGTAACCCTGGATACTTAACATTTTCTTGGTAGTTTATCTGGCCCTCGTAAAGTTAATGGAGGGGAGGGACAGCAGGCTTTGGAGAACTCTAATTCTAAAGCTTTTAGAACTTGTGCAAAGTAAATGCTCAGAAAATGTTAACTTGAACAAAGAAATGATGAAAGAGCACTCACTTCACATTGCTCACAGAACAGATGGGCCCAGGTATGGAGATGTGAGAGCTTTCTAGAGATTCACAAAGGAGGAATGATCCAGAACCAAGGACAGGAGCAAGTCTGTAAATGTACGCTATCATAGAACCAAGAGAACTGAGAAGCAAGGGACTTGCCACATATGTTCTGATGTTGCAGAATATATGTACCCGTTATAAGTAAAACCACTGGACTGAGTTTCAGACTGTTTTCCAAAAGGAAGAAAAATGGTCTTCCTTTTAAAGGAAGATCGAGGCCTAACATGTCAACCACATCATAGGTATTTGTTAAATTATTTATTTGAGCCTAATACTACATGGCCTTGTGCTAAGCATTTGTAAATACATCCTCAGAATTACCCTATAAGACATGTTGTGAAACAAAGATGTGACTGACTGACCCAAAGTTAGCCAGCCACTAAGTGATAGGACTAAAATTTTGAGTCAGATATCATCTGATTCCAAAGCCTACTGTAAGATTGTTGATAACCTAAACATTCAGTCCTGCAAATGTGATGACAATTGTCTTTCTATGCTGTGAGATGAAAGCTCCTAAATTAAGCTGATATGACAAGAGTCTCTGCCTAGAGACTGAGAGCTAACATTTGTGCTTGGATCTTGGCCTAAATAAGAAAATGACAAGCCAAAGTCCTTGAGCTTTCCAGTTTGGATTCTTGTCTAATAATCTACTACATCCTTCAGCCAACTGTCTGCTCAAAGCTGGAATTAGCCCAGAAGGAAGCAACGAGTGCATTAGAGAAAGATGTAGAAGATTTCCATTCTTGTTCAAGCTTCTAGATTAATCCTGGCATCAAACTGAGCCTTAGTATTCTTTTCTGCCAACTGTTTCTAGTGACCTTTCCCACTGATCATATGTGAGTAGCCAGTCCAAGTCTTTAGAAGAAAGGACCAATTTATTCTTCTAAGATCTTTAACAGAGGGAAACTGGAATTTCCCATCATCAAGGCCAGTCAGCCTGAAGTTAAACTGGCTTTCTGGAATACCTACAGTGTCAGATACTTTCTGTCTGATCACTCACTAGGCTGTGGTTTAAAAAGTTCAGCATAGTGCTTAAAATGCAGTTGCTAGAATCAAGGCCACCCTTGGGAGAACTACTTGCAACTTCTGGCATTGAACAAATCATGTCACCCTCTGTTTCTTGTTTAAATGGAGGTGGTCAAATCTATTTCACAAGGTTTCTTTGCATGTGAAGATTTAAATGGGATTTAAGTCCTGTTAAAACCACCTTTCTCTTTATAGAAGAGGAAACTGAGGCTCAGAGAGGTGAAGTGATTTGCTAATGTCTCATGAATGTGAGAAGCCTGGAAAAGTGTCTTCTTCCATTAAGTCTGGTGAAGGAGCTGAATCTAATTTTATTTCCTGAATAAAAGCTAGGGTGTTAATTGTTCATTCAATATCAGTTCAATCGCCTTTAAAGGAGATTCACAGAATCTCCTTTATTTCAATTCTCCATATTTCAATTCCTTATTAAACTTCTGGATTTCCTTGATTTAAGGCTACAGTAAGGGAAACCCCCACTCTCCAGGCAGATACTATGATAGGGGATAGCACCTATAGGGTTCAGTCTGAAAGACCTCATTCCCTACCTTTAGTTAGTTGGCCCTTGAAGGCCCAAAAGAGCAGGTAGCTTCTAGGAGCCTCTTGGACCACCTGGCTGGCTCAGCTCCTCTCCTTACTCCTCTGAGATCACTGGATGAATTTGCCCACTTCTACTCTAGACTTGACCTCGCTCCCTCCACAAACAGGAACCAGATCTGAATCCTCTCTGCATCCCTTGTCTGGCCAGGCCTGGAGCAAGCCTCCACATCCCTGACTCTACCACACTTCTCACCAAGGAAACTTGGAGTTTGAGCAAGGCTCTTTATATTGCAGAGATCTCTTTGTGGTAATTAGACCTTGCCCACACCTACACACATATCACCAGCACCATGACCACCAGCACTGAATTAGGAAGGGGTAGGAAAGACACCCACAGAAAAAGAATAAAGAGAATGAATGTTTCCAGAACCTTTTTTTGGTAACAGACCAATTTCTCCTCCTGCTTGTGCTCTGTGCCAGGCCTGGAGACTCCCTGGTGGTTCCTCCCTACTTCTGGATGCTTTGTTTTCTACAGTTACAAATTCCTGAGCTTTCCAGTTTCTTCCATGTGACTTGATTATCAGGGCTTGAAACCTCTTTTATTAGACCACAACAGCACTCCAAATCCAAAAGAAAATGTGATCATGCAAATAAATAGAAAGATCTTGTGATGTTTTGGGTTGAATTATTGCCAAAGAACAGTTGCCTGTCCAGCTTGAGATGTGGGTGTTCACCCTAAGGAATTTTCTATTTGGATGTTCCAGGTTGATAATGCATAATGCTCCCTGCATAGGAACAGAAAGCTTACCCCCAAGTATCTATGTCTACCTCCTGCTGCGTAGTGAATGTGGTCTGGTTAGCAAGTGGGGGAGGGAAAAAGTGAGATGTTTAGCCTTTCTAAACATCACAGAGAAGGGTAGGTCCTTCTCTGTGAGTCTCTTTTGTCCCTGTGTCAACTGTGATGGTAATCCCTACCCTTCGAGCTGTTGTGAGGATTAAATTATTGAAAGTAGTAAATGAGGCCTACATTAAAAGCACATGGTGAACTCTAATGCACTGTTTAAGAGTTGACAATTACCAAGCATCTGTGTGCCTAGCAGTGCCTGGCACCAACACTGAAGCCAGTCTGATATTCCTTTCCTTCCGCCCATGGGACAGTGTAGTAGCTGATACCTGTGGCCAAAGCTGTGCTGA